CTTCCTCTTGAAATGGTTGAATATTAATCATTTCCTTTTGGTACAGTGACTCTGTGTATTCCTTCCATCTCTCTTGATGCTTTCTGCATCATTCAATAATTTGCCCAGAGAATCTTTCAATAACGAAAGTCAAGGCTTGAATTTTTTCTACATTTCCCCCAGCTTGAGAAATGCTGAGTGTGTTCTTCCTTTTTGGTTTTCTGATTCCAGATCTTTGCACATTTTGTTGTCATATTTGGCTTTAGTTTCTTTTTTTTTGGCTTTAGTTTCTTGAGCTGATCTTTGAAATTTTCTGTTCAGCTCTTGGACCAGCAACAAGATGGCGGATTGGGTAGACATACAGTGAGGAGCTCCATCAGCAACAACACAGAATACCAGACCAAGCAGGCTCAAGGGATGGTGCTAGAACTCTGAACCACATATAAAGGAATATTTATAAGTTTGGAAGGCTTACAGCTAGGAGAATTTGTAGCAGAATCAAGAAATCCATTGCTTTCTAATTCAAGATGCTCAGCTGCTCCCAGATCCTCCATCTTGGGAGAGACCAAGTGGGAGAAGGATCAGAACAGCCATGAATGCCTGACAGAACCATGGAGATACAGGAGTGGACATTCATTTTTTGGTATCTCTTCATTGGTCTCTCACTGTCTGTGCACCTCCATTCTGGTGACTAGAGGGGATGCCTGAGTGAATGGATACCCCACCCCAACCCCTGTAGGGTTCTACTATGCATGCACACAGATCTCAAAATTTAAAGTGACAGTTTCCACTTAAAACCAAATGGCCACCATTTGTCTGTCAGTCTGTCCTACTGTAGTGGCTTGTGAGTTACTGTGATTCTGAAAGCTATGCCACTGGTATTTTTAAATACCAGCAGGGTCACCCATTGTGGACAGGTTTCAGATGAGCTTCCAGACAAAGATAGACTAGGAAGAAAGAGTGACAAACTACTTCAGAATATTTAGTCACTGAAAACCTTATGAATAGCAGTGAAACACTGTCAGATATAGTGCCGGAAAATGAGCCCCTCAGGTTGAAAGGCACTCAAAATGCGACTGGGAAAGAGCTGCCTCCTCAAAGTAGAGTTGCGTCATTAGATGGTTACAATATCCTTCACATACCAACAGTTAACAGAATTTACCTCTATTCACTTTAACTCTTGCATTCCTCCTTGTGTCTCCTGCTAGTTTCATCTTTCCTCTGCTAACCTACCTCTTGTTGTGTATTGCCTACCCTGTCACCCATGTTAACATGTGTCTGACCTCTAACCTGTGAATAATTTTCCCTCCCCATCCTATAACCATCATAGATTATTTCTTTTATCAAGAACTCCCCCCCCTCCTTTTTAAAAAAACTTTTTACAATATTGGTCTCATACAATATTTGTCCTTTTGTGATTAACCAATCCCACTCAGCATAATAACCTGCAGGTTCAACCATGTTGTGAGGTGTTTCACAGATTTGATCATTCTTCAATGTTTTATAATATTCCTTTGTGTGTAAGCATCAAAGCTTGTTTGGCCATTCTTCTGTTGATGGGCATTTAGGCTGTCTCCATCTTTTTGATATGTGTCTTGTAGACAGCATATTGAAGGATCTTGTTTTCTTATCCATTCTGCTCTCCATCTCTCTCTTATTTTTCACTTCTCATTCTGCAACTAAGCACACTCATGAAAGCTTGTAAGCCAGCCACTTCATGCCTTTGTAACTCC